TGTTCTCCCAGGATTCAACAAAGGTGCCATCATCAGGAGTGGAACAACTTGGTTAAACCTCTTCTTTGGGCCTGAAACACAAGATGAAATAAAGACAACATCCAATACAGGCACTCTCAAGATGGCTACACCATGTTCAAAATGTTTAGCACTAGCATGTTACAAAACCACTACAATCTAGTCACTAATCAGAATTTCACATTAAACTATAACTACATGAAACATGAAAGTAACAACTAAAAATACTTTTGACAAAGTCAAAAACAACTCTCCATCTAGTATAACTAAATCTCTCACAGTGAAACACTTACCAGTTTAAAGATGGCTCCGTGGGTAATTCACTGCATAGTATTTTCTCTTTCCGGCCCCGATGTCCTGTAAACATTAAACAACACTCTGTAAATGCTGTCCGAAAGTTCCATTTCAGATCACGAAAAAACTTGACATGTTTTTCTTACTTGAGCAGCTCAAAAATGGCCAGGACGATGTCGTTCACGTAAGAGAAACCAGAGAATTCGGACTTCTTGGCGTCGTGGAGTCCACCGGCCCAGGTGATGGTAATGTTGGTCTGCTGCTACACCTGCAGGGAATTACTTAACAAAGTTAATAAATAAGCGTGTGCACGAGTGTGCCCCGGAAGTGTTACTCCTTTCTTCCGCTGTTAAAGGTCAAGGATGCGCCTCGTTATCCAATCACAAGCGACATCTACAATCTTACTATTGCAAAAAAATGCAAGAATATTTAATCTGACCACCACAAATGTGAAAGGATTGTTTTATTTATAAAACTATTGACATTTCCAATATTTTGTCTAAAGTCACAATAAAAAAAGGGACAAATACAATTATATGATAAACATAGCACCTGCTAAATATAAAAAATAAATAGAGTATACTGTTAATAACTGTATATCGCAGTGTTTTAGCAATTAGTTTCTGCATTGACACAAACATAGATTTACAATATATATACACTTATAATATCATTATTTACACATATAAACTACATAATTAAAGTTATAAGTTTGAATACATAACTACAGTGCAGTGCTTTAGCTGTATAAGCGTCGACATAACGTATATCGTATATATATATATTTTTAAATCAAAGATTGAATTTCCCTTCCCTGCTCGTTTTGTGTACTCGCCCTCTGGTGACAGAAAATAAGAACGCACAACGTTTTAACACTCGCTTTCTAGTTAAAAATAGTTTCTCAGCAAAGTCACTAAAACGTTGATACATGTGGAAAAGTTGCATGAATTTATATCGTTATTTAATATGTTTAAATCGGTTTAGTATTTCACCAAAACGGACTATTTCGTGACATTTTCACAAGGGCGTTTTGGCGGATGGTTACAATTTTAGGCCTCCCGTAGCAAAGTGATGTTCGGTTTTGCTCCGCCAACAAGCATTTACTGACGTAGTGACCGTCAAATGACGCGGGGTTTCCCTGGATATTCC